TATTTATTCACAACTTTTGAAGTTGTATAAGGGCGTTACAATAATTATTAATCGAAAGTATTCGTTCACTCAACCAATCAATATATGATCTCAATAAAAAACATACCTTCAAATTCAGCCTATGCGTTCTCCACAAATGCTGCATAAGGGCGAATCGGAGGGACTTCTTCACAAAGGAGATGGAAAAGTCATCCCGAAAGAAGGATGACCTGGAAAAATCCGCTTAACAATCTATGTGGAAGAAATGCTTTTGAATTTATTGTATAAGTCACCTCAGAAATCTCGCAAATGTCGGTTCGATTTTCAAATTTGTGAAGGTTGGATTGAGTAGCACAGCAGAAGCAAGGCGATCGAACACCTCGTCGGACGAGGATATCGAATAGCATCTAACATCAAGAGATGCCAAAACCCTTCGTGACATAGCAGAAAAGAACGTTGCTCGTTTCGTAGACATTCGTAGGCACAGGAGAACTATTATACTGCTACTAACAGTAGAAAGACAGTAAAACAGTCCATTCAACAATTGTGGACTGAGAGATTCGCCTTGCTCCACAACAAGCAGCCGCTTTCCCTGGAAAAAGAGTTGAAATGGTGCTATTATCAGAACACTAATGCATTGAACACCTTTCCGTTATCGCTCCTGAGCTTGTTAACAACACCAAAAATGTTCATTTCGCCAGGTTTGAGCACTACGGTACTGCTGATCTCTCGCTGGAGTCGACCAATGACACCATCAGTAATTCGGCCCACATCCGAAAAGTTACATCGAACCATCGCCATCATCAATTTTCCTGAGATGAACCACTATCACTATTGACTATTAGTCAGATTATGAAACCACTCACGTGGAGTTAGTTTGGCGGAAGCATTACTCTTAAAATTAGGCGTTCCGACGTCGCTCTTGAAAAAGCCAACAATCTGCAAAATAATTCAGGTTGATTGCACGAACACATGGTGTGGCTTCGCTGTTTTGACTTAACAACTTTAGCCTTTAGCTTTTGCGCACTACTTCTAACTACCTTAGCACCAGCTCCTACTCGAATAACTATTCAGAAACCCAAGTAAACTCAAATTTCTCCCACAGTGATTTGCAACATACCACGACAGCCTGCCCACGTAAGGCTTAACAACGTGATGTGTCGTTAGCTTCTTAATATTAAGTATGAACATATCGCTGACGGTCAACAGTTTCCGCTCGACTTCCATGTGAGTCGATGGCATGACTTGTCAAACCCTTGCCAATCGTATAGCATTCTCATTTGTTCGTTCTCCGTAAAGATAGAAATAGTTACCGAATTGAAAAGTTTGCATAAAGTATAATCGTAGTAAGCGCATTGACGACAGAGTGACACGGTGGCTAGTCACATTTTCGGGTGGAGGAGACTCGTTTCTCCATAACTAATTGAATTTTTCATGATTCAAAACTACTCTTATACTTTAATGGGTTCAGAAAACTATATTCTCTTCACTAACAATGAAGTATTTCCAGGAAAGGGACTGTTAATGAAACAAATATCAGAAAGATGCCAAGATCCACGCATAACGGCAGCCGTCAATGTCCTGAAGTTGCTCAGTTTTCCCTGCCCAACTCTCTTGAAAGGGTTCCACAATAAGCTCAGAGGGAAGGGAAAATATACCTTGTCTGGAATCTATGATACGTCGCTGCGACTGGAACAGCTTAGGAATTAACATAGATGGAGCACGTCTAAATCACGTCCGCTTCGC